TTTTGTTCTTCTTTGTATGCCAACAACAAGGTCGACTCTACATCTTCAACTTTGTCTTCAACAAAGTGTGCTCTTTTTTCCACAAAATTATTTCTACATTCGAAAACAAAATGGTCATATCGATGATAATTATAACATTGAATATGAGATTTGTCATACCTCTCTCCATAAGGCTTTAAATTGTTGCCTCTTTCACGTTCTCTTTCACTATGTGATTCTTGACCTCTTTCTTTTTTGTTGGACGCATTTTGGCCAAAGTTTTCTCCTCTACCTCAACCATGTCCACCACGACCTCCACATCCATGTCCAAGCACTCTACCTCTTTGACTTCCATCTTGCCTTCTTTCTTTTTCTTTGAAAAAAAGCTTGGATTGTTACACTTGTTCCAACGACTCTTGTTTCTTCTTGCCTAGCCGTTCTTCATAGGCTAACAACAATCCCATGAGTTTGTCAATCATCATTGTGTCTAAATTTTTAGACTCTTCAATGACTACAACAATGTCGTCAAACTTGGAGTCCAATGAACAGAGGATTTTTTCTATCACTCGGGTATCATCATAGTGATCATCACCATAAGTTCTCAAATTATTCACAACCACCAAGATTTTTGTGAAATAATCTGAAACTAATTCGAATTCCTTCATACGTAAAGCCTCAAATTCACCTCATAGAGTTGGAGGCAAACTTTCTTGACTTTTTCCACTCTATTATGAGCGATTTTCAGAACATCCCATGTTTGTTTGGATGTGGTTGCACTAGAAACCTTATGTAACATAGTATTATCCAAGCAATTGATGGATGAGTGAAAGAGCCTTTAGATCTTTCTTCTTTGTAGCTTGCAAGACTTCCTTTTGGACTTGACTTAAGGAAGCTTCATCTTGCAGTGTTGTGTAAACAATTGTTACAATCTCCCATAAGTCTTGAGATCCAAGAATTGCCTTCATAGGGATACACCAATTCTCATAGTTTTTTTTGGTGAATTAGGGCATTTGAAATGGAAGTATTGTGTTCACCATCTTTCTCTCACTCTCTCTTTTTCAACATTCAAGCCTAGCTCTTATACCATTTTGTTGGAATCTAGAGGACTATCACACATTTAGAAAAAATAATAGAAAAGACTATTGAAAATAGGAAAAATTCTTGCAATTCACTCATATTCAAATGAATGTATTACATAAGATATTTATAGACTCTTATATATAACACATGATATACAAAATAACCCCACTATATAATGCAATAATAAAAATAATAAAGACGTCACTCCTTCATTACTTGGAGAATTAAAATACCACAATTACTTTGTCTCCCACTAATACAAAAAATTAAATGTATAAAAATAACTCATAGAACATGAAAAGTCATATTTATTATTATTTTTTCAACAAGCATAACCTTCTTATTCCTGACCAGACATGTCTTGTAATCCCCTTGATGAGGAAGCAAAAAAGGCCACTCTCAAATCATCATCGTCATCATTGAAGTTTGGCGTAATGAGCACTAATTCAGAAGAAGTTCTTCTTGCAGGCCTTAGGTTAGCATTTTATCCAGTTCATAATCAAAGTCTACAGATTTTTCTAAACGGACAATCAATACCTTATACTCAATGGTGTTTGGTTGGTACGTCTGATGTTTCTCAATTCATCTATAATTGAATTGTGCATGAAATTTTTTTTTTTTTATTGCAAAAAAAAAAAAAAAACTTCAAAATCACACGTCTTTTTCCTTCGTGGTTACGTCGTGAATCCAATTTTTAAGGAGACACATTCCCACTTGGATGTGCCTTTAGTGAGTCCATCGTTCATCACTGGGTAAACTTTCTCTATAAAATGTTCTTGTTTTTCTCACAAATTCTCTAATGTGTAATGTTTGTTAACGCCTTTGTTAAGAGATTTTTCAAGCAATAATATAATTTCATCAAATATTGAATGCATAGTAGGTTGTAAAAGGTATTTCCATCAATCTTAATATCTAAGGAATATATTATATATATACTTATATGTGCATATTACTTGAACAAAAAAAGTTCATTTTGGCTCCTGAGCGAGAACAAAAAATAAGCGATGCACCATTCTTACTTCTACGTATATACGTTGATCTTAACTTGACAAATTGGTCCAATTGAACTCACACTCAAAGGAGGACCACAGGTTCAGGGCTTTGACGAAACAGAAAATATTGACATTAAGAAACTTCTTGGAGTTATTAGTGAAAGAAAGAGTTCACCATTCATTTCTTCATTAATATACATAGTTGAGTCTACTAAAAGAGAAACTATTGCAAAATATTAAACAAACGCTACATAGAAGAAGGATTTAAAAAAATAAAAAATCTAAAAATCGTCATTAACATTCAATGGTGCCCAAAAGGCACTAATTTTATTTATTAATCGTCACTCTATTTTGTACAATTTGACAGTTTTTCAAAGAAAATCCAGACTATCAAAACCCTAGCCTCAACACCGACTTGAGTATCTATAGTGAGAACTGTGGGCTTGACAAAGTCACAATGTCATGGGGCCGAGATATGTTTAAACCACCTAAGTCGATAAGCTAATAGAGTTGCTTCTTATTAAGAAAACATGTGGTAAAAACACAATCTATTAAATCAGAAAATAATGTAATTATTATTTGATATCCCACAAGAATATTATATGTGACTAACTTAATTTAATGACATAATAATTTGTCAAATTTACGTTGACTCATATTTATTATAGTAGCATGACATTAGTTTATGTATTTTGGTACGGGCATTTAGTAGTTCATAGATGTTAATTGCGTTAATTGTTTGTGTTTCATGGATTAGTGAAAGTTTGGCTATGACAGTCTATATTAAAGTTCTCACCTAAAAATATGAGGTAAAACTTCAAACATTACTACCTCTCCCTCATCAACAAGATCTCCGTCTCTCCCACAATCATGCTCCATTCATTTTTATTAAACTTTTCCCTATAGAGTTCTCTTGCAGGCCAAGTTGAGGTGGTGAAGGATCAAGATCAAGTTTCTAAAGCTCTTAAATAAAATGGGTTATGCACAAGAAGAAGATAGCTTTCTTCCCTTGACAGCACCTAGCTTGTACTAATAATGTAAGCACTGCCTCAAAATTTAGTTTAATAGGTACAATGGGTCGTGTCAAGCTAGGAGATGAGCAGTGAGAAACAACTTTGGTATACCGTACATTCCGCAATCAGAGGTCCAGAGATTGAGGACACGTAGTAGGGTCTAGAACCTACAAGTATTTAAGAAACAATTAACAAAAAAAACTCCTTGGAACTTTGTTTTGTGTTTCAGTCAAATTTCCAAAAGGTTTCAGCTAAAGTCATTAAAGTTTTATATGCTACTCTCGCGGAAGATCCGCAGCACATGGGATGGTATGATTTTTTTTTTTTTTTTTTCTTCATTTGTCATAGATATTTGAGTTAATTTATATATATTTTGATTAATTTTTTCTTCAATTCAATCGAAGGCAAGTTATTCATATTGAAATTAGATAATTATGAGAAATAAATTTCTTATAATTTAATTTCAATAAATTGTCAGGACTTAAACTCTAGATTATTTGAATTTACGGTTTGTATGTGTTATTACTTAAGTTATTCTTAAAATAGATAATTGGGCTTTGACTAAATTAAAAAATAAATTAGTCGGAACTTTGACCATTAACTATTGAATCAAAAAAAAAAAAAAAAACCCGGCATCACATGGCTTCTTCAATGCCAAGTAATGACTCACCCTCTACGTGTCCCCTTAGTTTCTCTTATTAAAATTGTCAATTACTTTTTTACCCACACCATTCAATTATTGGGGCCAATTATTTATAGCTTTGATTGTATTGTTTCATGCTACATTTATTTATGATGGATGATATAGGCCAAACCAGAGATCGAGCCTAACTTGCCTACATTTGTTTTTGAATCCTGGCATACCTACATTTTTTTTTTAATCTTGACATGCCTACATCATGAGTAAATATTTTGTGAAATATTGACATGATATTTTACGAAAGAGTTTTTTTTTTGTCTATCATATCCTATCAATTATACTATTTTTATCTAAATTTCATCCAAAATAATCAGATAGTAAGTTGGGTGAACACATTTTTTTTAGTTACTAATTTTTTGATCATTTTAATAATTTAATTAGATAACCTCTATCAATTAAATAATACAATAAAACCATAACACTAAAAAAAATAATAAATTCGATTCTTTGGATAAAAATACAAAAATTTTGTATGTATTACGTATTCATACTAGATTTTTTGTGAAATATTAAAAAATCTTCTGTTGACCTATCTGATTCTTTGGATAGTCGATCAACAAAATAGAATGGGTCAAAATTTACGAACAATCGAAAATTTGAGCACTCTTAAATATAGACCATATTTCTATTTTTGACAGAGGGTTAAATGGTGACGTAACTGGACTTTTATTTTTGACGGGGAGTTACTCGTTAAGCTATTACTAAGATTAAGATTTTTACTTGTGTAAAATCCATAAAAATTATTTTTTTACATGGTAATCATAATATTATTTATTTTTAATAAATAGAAAATTTAAATTCAAAATTCTTGAATGAATTAGTTGTAGAATCCTGGTAAGATTAATTCACCAAACAAATAATAATTTGAGAGAAACTACAATTTATCATAATTTAAAAACATGTATAGTTATAATTTTGAAAACTTGAGTCCTGTAAAAATAAAAAATTTAATGAGGTGAAATTACTGGATGTCATGAAATTTGAGGGGTATAATGTGAAATATTTTTAAGTAGGAGAGATAAATTAAAATTTTTGATATTTTCAGTGGGCAAAGTATAAATAACCCTAATAAATACTTTCTCAATTGTAATCGTGTCAGAATTCTACGAGACTTTTGCCTGTTACACTGTCATCCTATCATTTCTCATTTACTTTAACCGCCGTAGAGGTAAAATGCTCCCACTTTTAACCTAACCATGGTTATATTAACTCATCAACCCCCACTACTCAAGCAGTTTATAACTTTATATACAAACCAAACCACACCTTCAGTAAGTTCAAAGAGCAACCAAAAAATGATGATCGGAGAGAGAAAACACTATCCGATGGTCCACGTCCCTCCATGGACCTGCACAGATCATCCAACGGCCGATCTATTCTCCGTTAGCCCTAACGGTAACGTCAACTTCAATAACACCGACGACTACTCTTGTTTCCTCTCACCAGACTCTCTAACGGCCCTCCCACGTTATCTCCCGTCAAATACAGACGACCTCGACATCTACTCCAACTCCAACGACGACGTTTTAGGTGATGATTTGGATCTGCCGGTGGACTTCTCCCGGTGCGATCATTTCCGGATGTTCGAGTTCAAGGTTCGAAACTGCGCACGTGGGAGGTCACATGACTGGACGGACTGTCCTTACGCTCACCCCGGAGAGAAGGCTCGCCGGAGGGACCCACGTAAGTACCACTACTCCGGCACAGCTTGTCCGGACTTTCGCAGAGGTAACTGCGTAAAAGGGGACGCGTGTGAGTTCGCCCACGGCGTATTTGAGTGTTGGCTCCACCCATCTCGCTATCGTACGCAGCCCTGTAAAGATGGGCTGAACTGTCGAAGGCGGGTCTGTTTCTTCGCTCACTCGCCGGACCAGCTCCGCGTACTGAGTCCGAGAACAGAGTCATACGATGGACTGAGTCCGAGAAACGAATCATACGATGGGTCCCCTCTTAGGTTGGCTTTGGAGGGTTCTTGTAAGAAGGGGTTAACTTTTATTTCGTCGCCGGAATCGGTTTCGCCGTCGACCGAGTCTCCGCCGATGACTCCAATGTATACGAACTCACTAAGTCGGTCATTGGGTTCGAACTCGATTGACGAAATGGTGGTTTCTCTGCGTCATTTACAGCTGAACAAGGTCAAGTCTATGCCATCTTCATGGGGCTTACAGGTAAGTTCTTCGGGGGTCGGGTCGCTGAGAGTACCCATAAACCGATCCGGATTCTGTAGCCTACCTTCCACTCCGACTCGGGCTATGACCCGGTTCGGATTTGGTCACTTTGATCTCCGGGACAAGGACGGTTGTGAGGAGGAGCAAGTGATGGAGAGGGTCGAGTCAGGAAGGGACGTGAGGGCCAAGATGTTTGAGAAATTAAGCAAGGAGAATCCGTTGGATCGGGTTGACCCGAATTCTTTTGGTGTTTTAAATGCGGATTTTTTTGGTTTCTGAGATGGTGAAGTGCAAAAAGGAAAAAGTTAAATTATGAAGAAATTTTATGGCAAGTGGTTGTGATTTTCTCGGTATGGTATGGGTGGTGCTCTCTATCTCTCTCTCTCCCTCCCTACGTCTCTCTCTCGGAGTGGAAGAGAAAGAGAGAGAGAGAAGAATGGAACATTGCTTTTTAAAGCAGAAAGTGACACTTCTGTGAATATTTAATAGTATTGGTAAAGGAATTAAAATATATGATGGGATGAAGAGTAGAATCTCTTTTTTGGGGATAGCAGAACATAGATTCTCCCTTGCTTATTCAAGGTTGTCTAGATATAATTATATAGTATTGCTACATGTAATAGATCTAACTCATTATTGTAAATATGTATTACAATATTCTATGCAAGTATTGTTTGTTTAAAAGCTTTTATTTCTTAACAATGATTTTTGTGGGTGTTTGTCGGGTCTCAGTTTGTCATATGTAATGCTTTGTAGGGAATGGTAAAGAAGCTCTATCTTCTATATATGTAATGCTTTGTAGGGAATGGTAAAGAAGCTCTATCTTCTATATCTGGTCGAATTTATACTTAAACATGAATAATTTTTGCCGGCTAAGATTAGCGGTCTCAATCAAGTCATGTGTGTGTTAGTTAGATTTGTGTTGAATTATTACGAATTTGTGTTGAATATTGGTTACATTTAATTCAATTTATTTAATTAATTGTGTCGTGTCGAGTTATAAACTGACCTGTTTATTTTTGTATTCGAATTAATCAAGTTCGTGTCATAAAATTTATATCAAATTCAAATCATGTCATTTTGTTGAATCAAAATTTTTTATTCCTAATTAAGGTGAAAAAAATAATTTTTTTTAAATTTTAAATTTTAATTTTAATTTTAAAATTTATTTTAATTTTTTTTAAAATATATATAAATATATATTTTATTATTATATTTTTATATGAAATTAATGTAAATATATAGACAAATAAGATATATCTCAGTACAAATAATTAATTTTTCATCTATTTTCTTTCTGATTTTAAAGAGATTGATTCAGGTGAGTTAGAAAGAAAGTTAATTTATTCACTTTTTCATCTGTCCTATTTTTCTTCCTTACCAGAAATGATGTTTTATTTATCCTTCTAATTTTTCATTCTTCCTTTTTTTCATCATATCAAACGGAGGATAATAAGGAAAATCAATCTATCAATTTATTTTATCCTTCTTATTTTTTTTTTCCCATGATGTTTTATTTATTAATCACTAAAATCAATTCCTTCAAAATCAGAAAGAAAGTAAATGAGAAGTTAGTTATTTGTGTTGAAAATTATCTTATTTATTTATTAGTTATTGTCTGTGTTCGAAGGTACAGAATTATAAAAAATAGTAAACAATAAACATACTTGTATTTATATCCAAAATTAAATCACAAATATAGAAAAGAGATAAATAAATTTAAGCATTGATTGTAGTAGGGTGAAAGGTGGTGGGCAACAATGGTGGTGGTAAGAGACGGTGATGGTTATGGTGGGTAGCAATGACCATGGTGGCAATGGTGGTGGTGACGGTAACGATGGCAATGGTGGGGGTAGAGGTAGTGGTAGTAGTTTGACGGTTTCAAACACTATTTTTTTTAAGTATTTATGATGAATAATTTTAAAAAATATTTTTAAAAAGTCACTCAAAATACACTCTGAGGTGTATATTTTTTCTATTAAATTTAGAATATTAATATTAGTCATTATATTAATTTTAAAGTAAAATTTAAAACGATCTGAACCGCGAAAAGTAAAAATTATTTTTTTATCATTTAAAATTTGAATTGTAAACTATTTTATTATTTAAACTAGTTACTGTCAGTGCCTGAAGGTACATAATAATAAAAAATGGTAAACAATAAACATATTTGTATTCATACCTAAAATCAAATTACAAACATAAAGAAGAGATAAAAGAATTTAAGCATTAGTTTGTAATAGGGGGGTGAGAGGTGGTGGACAGTAGTGGTGATAGTAGGAGACGGTGATAATTGTGGTTGGTGACAATGATCGTGGTGGAGGTGGCGGCGATGGCAACAATGGTGGTGG